ATAAACCAAAAAACTAAAATCAGCTAAATTTAAGTGTGCAACTGTTGAACTTGTATAGTTAACAGAACTTGCCTTGTAGCCAGTCTGAACAAGTCATCTACAGTATCGGGGTGATTTCTCAAACCATTAGGTTGTTCCAATAGCTGAAATGTTGGCATACACAGAGCCTGAGAAGATAAAAAAAAAAAAACAAAAATATTTAATGTGGCCTTACACATGTATTAATGCATTTGCCATTTCTATAATATTTTAGTTTCACCTGCAGCATATCAAGTAAACCCTGTCTGCATCCCTCCTCCATTCCATATTCATCCACCAGGATGCTTCCAAGGTACAGGAAACACGAGTGTGGATGCACTTGGTACACACTCACCATCTACACAATAGACTTGTCACTTGACATTCATCAAAATGTAATGCTATTTTAGAGCTTACCTGTGTGACAAGAGGTTGCAACAGAGAGGCAGAACCCTTTCCAACACATCGCACAGCAAATCGAAGACAGCGACAGCATCGCTCCACTATTCTATTATCAGCCTGATGAGTGTTTAGAGTTTCTGACAGAACAGGCCAGATCTAAAAATGGTCATCAGTAAAGGGTAAGATATATTATATCATATACAAACCCATTAAAAAAGAAAAGAAAAGTGAGTAACCTCTTGGATAACTTTCTGACAGGGATGTGTTTGCCCATTTTCCACTATAGGGTTTGTGTGCCTGCAAAACATTTTTTTTTAAGTCATCCTCAAAGTTTTGTACAATATTTGAATGTATTCAAATGATTTGTGACATTACCTGAAAATAACAGCAAGTCTATCAAGCCACACAGTGGGGTCTGCTGATTTACCATTGGCTGATCCCTCTACTAGAAGCTGATTATTTACAACAATACAAGTTATTACAATTTAGTTTATTAAGTTTATAATATTTTACTAACATGTACAGTAATACCCACCTTTTTCAGCGCCATAACTTGAACAGTGCATAAGTCACTGAGACACTCTGCAATTTTCTCTAATGGAAGACGAGCCAGAACAAGCGCAGTACCTGCACATATTGAATTGATGCAGATTATTAAGAAACTACTAAGAGCTGATTATAGTTATTTTGCACACTCTACAAGCTTTACTTCCACCAAGCTTCACTTTACTTTGTTGAAATATTGATCATATCATTACCCTTGAGCAGGCCAACTGCAGCTTCTGTTGACAGAGCAAAAGAGTCAAGAGAACGTGCTATTTCCAGAAGTCCTTGGAAGTGTTGAGCCATGTGATCTCTGCACACGGAGCAGATATTGTGAATTGCCTTGGCTGCAGCTGAAGCTAGAGGTTTTTCTCTTAGACCTTTCATAAGGTAGTTTAAAACAGAATCTGGAAGGAATGAGAAGGGATAAGGTGTGTGAACCACATGTTGCAACATGGCATAATAGTTCAATAAAAAAAACAAAAACATTAAATTAAACTTACCAAGGAAACGGGGGTTCCTGTCCACCACTTCACTCATTTCTCCAACCAGCTCTATGCTAGTATAACGAACTGCCATATGCACATTTTCTGGAAGCAATACTACTTGCTCAAGAACCTCTGTCAGAGTAGGGTTGTTTTCACTAAAGTGAAAGAAAAGACATTCATTGCTGTTGTGTTTTATATGTTAGACTTTGTCAAAATAATTGAGATACAATTTGACACTCACGGATCTACACTTTTGGCAATTGAAGCCATTATGAAAAGAACAGCCTCAGTTACTTCCCAGGGTGGATTTCCTTGTTTTAATGTGGAATATAACTGGAAGCAAATTTTAAAATGTATATACAAGTAATCCTCTTTAAATAAAAATAACACATGTATCTTATATTGCACCAACCTGCGCAAAGCATTCCATTGAGCCCACAAGAAAAATAACATCTTTAACTAAATCAGAGACCCTCATTCTGAACTCTCCAAAGTCGTCCGTGTCTTCCGGTATTCCTTCCTGTGGGAAACAAAGGCGTTATAATGACAAAAGATGTGACATTTTGCAATTTGACTGCTTGCTCTTACATGATCAGGGTCCAGCTGACAATGTCGCGCTAGACAATGCAACAATCTTTGAATATAAGGCCTAAAAATACTGTGAAGGGCCACATCATTGATCTTATATAGATGTTCACCAAGACGGTACCAAAAGTTAAAGGAGATCTCCACCACCTGGAACAAAATGAAAATGAAAATTTAAACAAAACAGAGTCTTCCACTAGACAATAACTACAATATACAATGTACAGCTTTTTTTTAACCTCATACTGTGGGTGTCCTGCACAAATCAACAGCAGTTCCAAGGTCCTCAGATCCCCCATTCCCTGACCAGGACTCCTGACAGTTGTTTCCAAAAATGTTTCACAGAGCTCCGTAAAGATTCGGCAATAGTTCAACACCCTGAAAACACAAGCACAAGTGCCTTTGGATGAGTTGTTGGTTAATATGCATAAATCTCAGTGAAAGTACATAAAAATTGTTTATCATACTTGTCCAGATCTTCTCTGGCCACTGCCATGTGATAGGCCGTTTCTAAAGTAAGAACACCTTGAAAAAGCTGTAGAGCAAGAGCCATGTTGGTGTCCACATTTTCTATGGCGTAGAGGGCAGAACAAACACAATCGGATGCTGCTTCATGGAGGTTAGTTGAGGTCTCATCCCTCTGCTGTAATTGGGTAAAATGATGTCACTTTTGAAAATCTTCTACAAACTATCTACAGCAGAGCACTACAAAAGTGCAGTACAATCAGTTGTGCAAAAATTAAAGATAGATGTTTTCTTACCAGCACTTGGAAGAGCACCATCAACAGCTGATTAGAGGCCATAAAGTTGCTATCAAGAACACCGAGATTAAACCAGCTTCCCAAGCAACGAAATACTTTGATTAATAATTTCTCATCATCACCACTCTTCTCCACACAGGAAGTCTGAAATATTTTCAATAGTAAAGTATTGGTAGATGTTAGGACAAAATGCCACAAACAATTAAGAAAACTACTCACCAGCAAAGTTACAACTGTGCTTGAATAATATGCTAAATCTTCAATAATCTCCGTCCGACGATTTGCTCCAATTCTTAAAGAGCGACTGTGGACTTCCTCAGGAAGCACAGTAAGAATCTCTATCAGAAAGGGCATTGAGCTGATGTCGTTGTTATACCTAAAAATAAAATATAATAATTAGTTCCATTTTTGTACAGCTTTAATTTAATAACTTGACTTTTCTTTTTTTTAATTTACTTTTCTATTAGTGTGTGAACACATCCTTTCCATGTAGCCATTTGAAGAGCAAGATCCGCAATGGCTAAGGCCAGCTGAAAATAAACACAGTTTTAGCAATCATTACTAAGTCATGTTAAGAATCTTTCTCACTATATTAACTAACTTAATTTTAACAATAATACAACCTGGGTGACAATGATAGGTGACAGGTCTTTCAGACTTTGGATATGGGTCAGAAGTGAGTCACGCAGTGCATTGTGGGTCTCAGGAGGGAGTTCAAAGAATGACGTCTGGATCTTCATTTTCATGGTCTGAGCAGCAAAGTAGCAGGATTCAACATCCTGTTTGAGCTGAAGAAGTTGATCAGAGATTTCCCAGGCGTACATCTGACAAAAAAATATTATTTTAAAAATTACAAAGCGTTGTATAAAGAAGAATGTATATGACTAAAACGGCATACTTTTTTCTGCCAGAGACAAATTTCAGTTTACAAATAAACGGTGGGGAGAGAACGACGTATTAGGGGTCCTTGTTCTGACACTGGTATGCTAGGCTGCAAGTATACTTATGTTGTGCACCAGGTTAAACCGGTGTGTCCACTGGGAATAGCGCACAAAAATGTAGTCGAAGTCATTTATCTAGCGTATGTATTAAGAATAAGAGGTTTTTTTTCAGTTGAAGAAAAATAAAGTGGATTAAAGTGGTAAAAGGATAATGGCACATCACATCAGTGTTTGTGTTTTGGTCCATTCATTGATAGCTTAGCTTTATGTGGATGCTAACATTACAGTACTGTTTCTTTACGATGGGATTTATTGTTGTTTTATTAACATATAGTACAGGTCATTGGGATACAAATCAGTGATAAATACATCGCTTGTTGTCAGGCAGGTCGCTGGTATTTTTACGCTTGCTAAGGAACTAGCCATCTCAGCTTCTCACCGATCTCTGAAGCTCCCCGAGCCACACTGAAGCTCGCTCCTTCCCCGACGGGTCTGGGTCGTGGTACAGAGCCTGGACCGCCTGGTAGACCAAGGCCAGGCTTGGCTTACCGCCCTCCATGACTGGGACCACAAACAGGCGTACGATAAGGCAAAATTAACTAACACACCACTGTACAGATCTCTAATCGGTCCCACAGTCGACCGCCATCTCACACTGACTTCCCCTATGCATCCTCGACTCCGTTCGTACAGAAACGAAGATGTCGACATTGGTTCCGCTGGTCTTAAAGGGCCATATTAGAAAATATGTGTTTTGAGCCATGGTTTTGAGATAATAATCCTGTTATAGTGTTGTACACACATCAAAAAATACCCAGAGTTCTGTTTTGTTTTATTCACACACGTGAATGCATATTTCTCAGCTGCACTTGGGCTAGTAACGTCTTTGACTACTCTACGTCACACAAACCTTGAAGCAGATGTTCTGAGGTTAAATTGACTGTTTTCCAGCTCAGTTAACAGTTTTTCTTTCCAGTGTTTTTATATATTTGATTTATTAAAGGTGCACTATGTAACTTTTCTGGTGGAGGGTCCACTGCTTTCCATGGATTGTTTGGCAGTAACTAATCTTCATGTAGACAGGAAGGTTATGCCAACAAACCAAGATAAAGGTCAACTCTGTGAAGAGAAGGCTCTGCTCATGGTGCCTTTTAAAGTATTTTCTAGCTATAAAAACACAGAATAAATGCTAGACCAACTACCATACAGTGGAACATTCCAGACAAGAAATAATATTTCCACAGAGACCAGCATAGTGCATCTTCAAGTAAACAATAAAGAGGATTTTATTTTATTTCACACATTGACTATAAATCTAGGCCTTACCTGTAGGCCAATAGCAACACTGCGAGCAAACCTTCCTTGTTTGGCAATTCTGCACATTTGAGTCTATGGAATACACATAAGGAATAAAAGGAATAAGACTTGCAGACCAGGCTACAACTGAACTTCTCGCCCATGGGTTGGTGGACCGCTGAGTCACACTGTTGTGTTTCCCAGACAAAATAGTTATTTCCATGTCATTGTGTAAGAGACAGGCATATTGCCTTCTGCTGACTTTTGAGTAACTAACAACCTTCATGATTAAAGGTCAGTTGAGGTTACACCTAACAAAGCTAAACAAGAAGCACTAAGCTACACAAGCATATATGGTTTGTCTAGTATTAGCCTACATTTTGAGAAAGGTAAAGCATAAAGCCTAATTGTAAAGCATAAAAGTAAAGCCTGGAAACACCATTTCTAAAGCAAAGTATGGAGGCAGTGGTATTATGTTGTGAGGTTATTTTCCTACAAATAGGACTGGTATACTTCGTTATTTTTTCAATGATGGCATCATTAAGAAAAAGCATTGTGTAGAAATACCAAACCAATATGTTAGGGCATCACTCATAGTGGCTTAAACGACAGTACAAATCACATTGGCAGAGTCTTTAAATAATAACCAACCAAATGTGACATTTTGTACAATTTAAAGAATTTAAAAGAAACGAAATATAAAAGACATCCTATAAAAATCATACAATATTCTTTTAGAATTTATAAAATTCTATACACATAAAAACATACTATTGTTCAAATAATATAAATTGCACCTTACATTAATGCTTATAAACATTTTGAAACATATGACATGGCAATAAATAAATATCCAATCAAGGGTCCTTTTTCTTTGTAACAGCACCAGTAAAAGGCAAATACACATTTAAAAAAACTTGAAAAAATCCTTGGTAAACTGCTCCCCAAAATGAGAGTGGTGTGTAAGAAAACCATCCATGCTATACCTGTTAGAGAAATTCCATTTCAGTGAAATTCCATTTCTGTGCTGTACTGTGGGCTCTCACAGCCAGCTCAGTACAGCACAGAAATCGAAGTTCTCTAACAAACCACCTTTAAAATTCATCATGTCGCATCAGTGCTTCCCCAAAGTTGGTCACTTGGCTTCCAACAAATACTTCATGTTTCTCCAAAATTTCCTCTTTTGTTAATTTGCCATCCTAGAAAAAACACACAAAATATTACTTACTGAAAGAAATTTAAAATTATATATGGATCAGACATACTCTGTCAGTATCTGCTTCATGCAGCAAGTGCTTAGCCTCTGCCTCAGCATGATCATAGTCTTCTGGCAGTATCCAGTCAAGAGTTTCTTGCCTATCCATTTTCCCATCATTATCTTTGTCTCTAAACTCAGCAAACTGTTCTCGCTCTGATTTTACCCAGTCAGGCTCCTCCTCTCCGTTCTCTGGTGAGTACATGTCACCTACAGAACACACAGTTTAGCTCCAGTTTTATATGAATAAATTCTACATTTTCACTGAAACACATATGTAGTTACTACAGTATTTACTTGCATTGAGTCTAACAAAAAATTAATGATTATTGAAAACACTCACCAATATATTCTTTTAGGTCAATATAGCCATCTCCATCCTTGTCAATATCCTCAATAGTTTCCTGGTAAAACAAGTGCTTATATATTAATTGGCTATATTCTTGCACAAAGATTCAAAAGAACTTATATCATTAATTACCTGAAGTACAATGTCCCTCATGTGAGAAAACTCCTCTGGGTGGAGAAATGCAGTGAATTCTTCTTTATTGACATATAGATCCCCATTTTTGTCAGCCATGCGAAAGCGACGCTCGTCCCTCTGCATCATTTGGGCATAGTTAAAGTCAGTGTCTTCCTGAGGACTGTCTGGAGAGCAAAAATGTGCAATATTGGTTAAATATTACTTCACAGGACAAAGAGAGCCAAATCAATGTCAATATGATAATATCATACGTAGATTGTATTACCCAGATAGCTTCCATAGGTTACATTTTTATACTCTTCCCAGCCGATGTATCCATCATTGTTGGTGTCAAAGTCATTCCATTGAGTCTGAACGTTATCAAAAATGTATTTTTGTTGAGCCTTTTTTATCCAAATTTTTAGCTCTTCCTCTGTGACATATCCATCTTTGTTATCATCTATTTTTCCAACAATTATGCTACAAATAGGGTGGATTATTGTTAGTAAAGATTAATGAAAAAATATTTGACAAGGAATATACAATCTAAATATTGTTGTTATACCAACCCCAGTCTTCGTTTGCTTTCTTCAAGAGGGAGGTGATCAAAGGTTTTGGCTTCGTCATGGCCAAGGAAGGCCTCATGGTCATAGTCAAAGTTTTTGGTGTCATCGTGTTTAAGGTTGCTCAGTGGTTCATCGTGATGAACACGTTCTTTTTTTTCTGTGGGTTTACATTGGCAGTAGACAACACAAAGGCAGATGGTGATGATCAGAAAACGCATCATTCTGTAAAAAAAAAAACAAAAAAACAACAACAAAAAAACAAAACAAAAACAAAAAACAAAGTAAATCAATATTTATTTATTTTTTGCTTAGCATTTTTCTTGGGTTCTACAGCACTAACAGTAGTTATCTGGAGTTTAGCTTGAGTAAAATGCCCTATTTTGGAAGAAAGAAAGCTATTGTCACTCTTTTGAGAGTTGCTTCAGAGTCGTTTTTAGGGAACTTTGGAACCATGGATCTGTTTTTGGTTGGAACTCCCAGTAATGTCTATCCTAAGGAAAAAATTGACCTGCAGCCATGCCACGACCAATTCAGAAAGATGTCTGTAGGTTACAAAAATACTATGAAACGGACCACCATGTTTCTCTTACTAAATATAATAATGTGTCACTTTAATGTATAATGAGATGACTTACCTTACTGATTCTTCGACTTTTTGCTCTCTATCACTCTTACGGAGTTTTACTTAGCTTTAAAATCCAACCTCGGGACAGCAGCTGTACTCAACCTTAACCAATCTGCGTCCACCTCAAACGCATCGTCCCTTCTGATTGGTCCACCTCTCTCAGTCTGCAGTGAGCTCTTATTGGCCCATTTTCACAGAGAGCCAATAGAAACCAACGTTTGGGCTGTACATGGGTTGGTAACATAGACCAACCCATGTACAGCTCATGCCGTTGAGCATGCCACGTTGTCGAGGAGCCGCGAGAATGATGAAACAGACTCCTAGACAGATACATGTAACAAATTAGGCAAGTGCTTCACTGTGAAAGTCAAAACACTGGCAGATCTCTTTGTAGGCTATATTACTTGATTAGACTTAGACTTTAGACTTACATTTTATGTACATATCGGTGAAAAAAACAAATACGAAAACTTAAATATTAAATTGAGTTAATTAAATGAACATAAGTACTCCTATGAGGGATATGCTACGAAACTGGTTGGACATAGTCTTAGCTATAGCTTAGCTTTATTTGGCTGGCTATGTGACTAGCTTCTCAAAGTTTGAACCTCAACTCAGAGAGTGTCACAAAGAGGTTTAAAGGCTAGCTTTTAGTTCTGCATCACACCCATGGATCTATAATAAAGGCACGAAATAGCGTAGAAATGAGATGAGTGTTTTTGACTTGATGTTCCAGCGTCAAAACTACGTGGGTGTCCCGCACAATCGCAGTAAATAAATAACAAATAATTAATGCAATTAATGTCTTGGATTCCCATGATGCACCTGGACAATGGTTAGCTCCACAGAAGCGGTTACGGTTTTATTTCGCTATTGTATTCGTAAATAAATTCCTATTCCTAATATGTAACTCGGCCCCAAAGTCGCCATAACTACTGCCCTTGGTGAGCTTCATTTGACTGGAGCCGAACGCTACGGGTGACATCACACTCTCTTAGTCCACTTTATACAGTCATGACAAAAATTAACAAGTAAATAAAAATAAATAATAATAATAATTATTATTATTATTAACTAAATAGAGGTCATTGCTCATTTGAATCTACTTTTCACATATTTAGTTGAAGTGAGTTAAGTCTCCGTCTGCGCGCTTATGTTTCTAACTGATTATAAGTGATGGAGAGTGTTTATCATACAGATGGAAGGCAGCTAAGAAAAAAAAAAATTATATATATATATATATATATATATATATATATATATATATATATATATATATATACATTTATTTATTTATTTTTTTAATACATTGAATTCTTGGGTTTAGTCAATAATACCAGGTTCAAGATTTGTGAATTTGCCTTTTGGATATTTCATGGCAAAGAACAAATAGGGAAATCTAGCCCTTGCCCCCATTTGGGAGTGTGCCATCATCACCTGCCCACACGCTCATAGTACAGCACCAATCAATAAATAATATGTGCAGAGAGAGATCTGATCTAAACAGGGGCTCTTAACCTGCTCCGAACCAGGTTAGCTCTGCTGCTAGATCAAGTGAGCCACTATCGTGATACAGAAAATGCAGGATATAAGCTTGACTAACACAGCTTATCTTATCTAATACAAAACCTCACTACCTAAACCCCAATACCTGCAGCAGATCATTATCAGTGCTAGTGCAGCCTCTGTAGCTCAGTGAGTGATTTCAGGAGGTTCTGAGCTTTCACTTGAGGCATGGCCTGTCCATATAGTACGAGACAAATTTGCATGTGTCCGTTATATGCAGGGTAAAGTACAATAAATTCAGTTGTGATTGTAGTACCTTTTTGAAAATCGGAAGAGCACAAGCTACATACAGTTACTAGAAACATGATTCCAAGTTAAGCAGGATAGGTTTTAATGAAGCTTAAGTTAAAAATAATGCTGTCCAATAATATCAGTTTATTAAAATTTACAAATGCATTTGTAGCTAGTGTAGTGTGAATTATAGTAACACATAAGAATCTGAAATATTTCACGCTCTCTAAAGGAATGACAAACAAAAAGTTCAGACCTTAAAAAAAAAAAAAATCTAACACAGTCGGCATATTTATTGATGATGTTGTTCTTTGTTACTTTCCAGGACTCAAAGGATCTTTAGTGTCAAATTCGGCAACTTGATCTCCTGCGCTGTTTAGGGAATGAGCCAGGTTTGAAACTGCACAGAGACTAAGGTCACAGGCAAAGCTGACAGCAAATCTAAAATGTGGATATGTGATCACATTAAAAATATATATATCCATTTAAAACAAACTGCAAAACGTTTACCTTTGTATTGTTGAATTATTCCTGAAAGAAACAAGAGATAAAAACATAACATCAGTCATAATAACATTCATGCAGCATAACAAATAGCTTCCCAAGTATGTTAGTTTGCCTGAACAATATCAGCCTACACACATCTGTGTGTTTACTAGGAAACCTACTCAAGTTTGAGAGTCAAAAACAGACCTATTATTTTATTTTAGTGTGATCAAAATAGTTATATTTGAGTAATGAGTAACAGAATTTCTACCTCATGCTAAACTGATTCTGTAAAAGACAACAAAACAACAAAGCTATTTTGATCATTTGGAATCTCTGCAAAATCCATAATAACACCCTGTTGATGAAAACAATGGAACAAACAGCTCTGAGTTAAATGTGCCATATGTAACTTTTCCAGTGGGGTTTATCTCTGTGGAGATATTGCTTTGTTTGAAATGTTCCAGATTATATGCCATTAAACATATCTAACATGCATTTATACAATTTCATATGTTTTTGTATGGCTATTACTTTGAGCAGGGTTGCTTTTCCAAAGAACTTATCTGTAATTTGGCATTGGGGTGTCACCTGTTTATCTAGGCAAGTTTAATGCCATATTCAGACCAAAAAAACAAAAAAAAAATCTCTATGGAGGCAAGCAGGTAGTTGACCCTCAACTAGAAAAGTTACACAGTGCACCTTTAAGAACATTGTTTGTCAACACTGAGGAGCTAATCCAGAGGTGTTATTTCTTTCCGTTTCCTAAGGGATCAGTTGTGGATTTGCCAGCAATCTCATCTCCAGTTTGAAGAGAGGAGACAAGGTTGTCAGTCAGACAGGTGGGGAGGGGGCAACCATTCAGCATAGGTGGACTGAAGAAAAGACAGCCGACGAGGAGAGATATAGAAATACAGAATAAGAAAAACAGATGGTGTGTGAAAGGATTTTCACATTTTATTTAAAAATATACTATGATATAGCTGTTTCTTACAGGCTTCTGGGGATTGATGAGGAAACAGCGTCTGTGTTGTTCTCTGCCGTCTGTGATGGGGAGTCTCCTCTGAAAACACGAAGAAGATAGACTAGATGTAAGCTGAATTGATATGGTTTTCACAGATATTTTCTATGAACTCACCCCACTTGAAAGCCATCCATTTTGTTCTTGATGGTTTGTGACATGTTCCTTGAAAAGAAAAACATGCAGCCCATGTAGGTATACATAAAAAGATGGGACATTAAATTGCAAAGGTGTTACTTACATATTATGCGAAACATTTGTGTAGTTTGAAGTGCTTGAAAACAGATTCCTTAAAAAAAATAACAAAAAATAAATTAAACACTTTAACTTGGTTTAATTTACTAATTGTAATAAATAAAGAATTAATTGATGTTTAATAGCAGACCCCCAGGATTTGTTGAGATAGTTACTGCTTTCAACAGATCTGTATAAAAAAGTGTAACACAAAGCAAAAATGTGTTGTATGAAGGATCTGGTGGGGCTATAATGCTATGGTAACAAAATCAGTAATATACAATACAGTTTATTTTAATGCATGACTCATATGATATTAAACTTACTTATGGGCCGGTTGAAGTGGATGTCCAAAGCCACAAGTCACCATCGCTGTCAGCACCAGGATCATTGTTGGGGACATCTTGCTGCTGGATGCTAATCTGAGGCAAACGAAGCAACTCTTTCAAAGTATTTATACCTAAAAACCGAGGTCACACCTCCAATAAATCCAAGTTTACGTAAAACTGTCCTCTAGCCAAGGTCAGATGAAGGTCGTGCATGCAGCAGTTTGAGTGACGCTGACCCTGAGAGTTGATTCATTGTTTGGGTTACTTTATCAACCCAACAGCATGAGAACTGGACCCATTCCAAACATTTGTATGTTGAGTTATAAACACAAAGTTAAAAAAGGACTCTGCCTGCTTGTCCAACTAAAATAAAGAAAGCACCAAAAATACACATATTTCAGTATCACACACTGTCATTTATTACCTGCATCAACAGTTGAATGGTTTAAGTTATTAATTAAATCCACAAGACAATCATATTTTAACACATATTTTTTCAGTCACTATCTCACATAGGACAACTCCATTAGGACATCACAAAAGAGTAAAGAAAATTAAATCACAATTCTAACTCTTCATGGAACATCCACTTAATATTTACATCAAGTACACATTGCACACAGGACGGTGTTCATCGGAAGTCTTCAGCAGAAAACATGCCCTTGGCCCTGCGCAGGATGGAGTCCTTGGATGCATCATAAGGGTGCTCTTTTGATGGGATTTCCAGAACAGCTGGGATGGACTGCATGTGGGCATCAATGGCATGGCGAATCATCTCTGCAATAAACTGGTTGATTAGGATGATTCCTATGTCATTACGAGTTAAGAAACTCCTGTTGGAACAAATAGAAGGATTTAATTAAATCAGATTAATTAATTTATCAGTTAATTTAACAATACAACCATAAACTAAGTCAGAGTGAAGAGAATCTCATTAAGAACAACTGCAAGTGTTTTTACCCAATGAAACAGGTAAGATACAAATGGTATGGTAGTTGCATTGTCTTTAAGTAGTTGACATGACTATCGGCACCATCTAGTGGTTATTTTGTCAAAAGGAGCACTGGGTGCTTTTTCACGCTGTGAGGCCACAGGCCTGAATCCGTGACTCCTGTCACAGAAGCCACTGTACCATAATAGCCTTCCAAAAAGCACATACAACGAATCTGTTCTTTTGCTACATTTCGGAACGTGGTCATTAGGCTAAGAGATGTTGCCACAAACGCACACTCACTTGAACGTCTCCTCAATCTCCGTGATGCTAGTGTCCTTCTCCACCACCAGAAAATTCGGTTTGCGGTTCTTGTTGAGTTCACCGATGCCTCCGAGTAGGAAACCGGTGCAAGTGTCTTCATCACCGATCACGGCAATGAGCTTTCCGCGGCCGGCCATTGGTAATTTATGATTAAAAAGGAAATGTAAAATGGACAAGATGAGGCTCAGTGATGAATCCTCCAGATCATGTGAGCGGATCAGCTGACACATCTTTACTTCCGTTTTAGTAGAGGGACTACAGGAGAAAGAGGACTGCATGAGTGCATTTTTTATTTATTTATTTATTTTCAGCAGCAGCAAAAAACAAAACAAACAACCCCAAAAAAAAAAAAAAACCAAAAAAAAAAAAAAAAAAAAAAAAACAACAACTACGCGACCAACATCACAGTAAAATAAATGAGGTGCCGTGGCCATGGATTTTTCTTCACCAATGTGACACGAAGGCATCATTAGTCACGTGAATGTCACACAGGAAATGAAGCCAAGGACCAACAACAACAGCTAAATCCTACTGAAAAACATGGTATATTGAGGCAGTTTTACATCTTAACCGCATTAATTAGGTTAAATAACGTGCTAAATCTACCGTATGTGTGTATCAAAGTTTTAGGTTGTTGTGTAAGGACTATTTAAGCATCTCCCTACTCGTTTTCAGACCACGGCGGCTCTGACAGCTGGACTGGAGCGCATCCCCGACCAACTCGGCTATCTGGTTATCAGCGAAGACGGAGTTCTAGCTGTAAGACACTTTTCCGCACATTTTAACACGCTTGGATGGAGTATACCTTTACCACACATAAGTTAGGCGTAGTCTGAAAATAGCATTTGAACAGACTGCTTTTAGGAACAGTAAGGTATAGTTTGTAGTTTGCAATAAAAAGAGTTACTTTTTCTTCCCCCTTCCCAGTCTGCAGGAGAGTTGGAGAACGATGAACATACGGCTGGTGTAATGATGCAAATGGTGCGAACAGCAAGCCGCTTCAGGTTATCAGGATCAGCTGATGTACCTTTTAAGAGGATGTCAGGTAAAGTGTAAATAGAATCTCTAATTAGATTTGGCATTTAGCTTTATGGAATCAAAATCAATAGACCTTGAAAAACTTGCCACTATCTCCATAGCATATGAAGGCAGAATTACTATTATGGTCCAAGGTTTACAAACATAAACTTAATCTAGAAATTTCTTCTTAAAACACCTAGAGATATCACTCCATATTATCTAACAGTACAATAAAATTGTTTGTCTTTTCCCCCCACAGTGATCCTGGATGACTTTGTTTACACAGTGACCATTTCTGCACAGAAAGTATTTGTGGTAAAACGACAACAAAACCAGAGAGAGCCTGTCAATGTATGAACAAAAACTGAGAGCAGTGGGCTTCATTAGGGTCCAGTTGTTACACTTGAGATATTGTTAAATTTTTTTGTCTTTTGTGTTTCATAGTATAACTTTATTAGAATAAAGTGAAATGCAGTGATCTTCAAAAGTATTTCATTATTTATTACATCAGCATTTAGTTTGAATTACAAAGACTGAAAGCATATTATTTCTTTGCTCAAATACACGATTTGCCATAGTTTGAGTTAAATTGTTGATGGACAACACCCAAATATTAACTCAACAAAACCTCCTAAAAGAAAATGTTAATTGCTGTCTCAATACTTCACATTACAAAGGAATGGAATGAGTCATTGCACATTATAAAATAATGGCTGCTCTTCATTCTGATTTAAATCATCTGCAAAGAAATTGGTTGATGGGAAAATTGGTGACCTGGAAGTCCAAGCCATTACTTTTAAATGCTTTAAAATAAAAAAAAATGCTTAAAGAAATTACATTTTGTGCCCTGTCTCAATCACTTTGTAAACCTTGAAATCTTTTGCACTGTTCCAATAGTCCTTTGGCATTGCTCCTTACGTCCTTTATAGTAGTCTTACCGCTTTTCTAACTCACTTGAGAGCCAGTCTAAACCTTCATAAAGACCAGTTCCTTCCGTTGCACATGTTGCTTGGATATACCACTAAAGAGACACAAAAAACTGTTATAAAACCTAAACATAAACGCATAATTAACTTCTGTACAGTTAATTATATGGCAACTTACAGTTTTGTCTCGCCTGCTATGCAAATGCAATTTATCTGTCAGTTCACTCACTCCCATTGCATTGGGTAGATCTTGTTTATTAGCAAAAACCAGAATAGCAGCATCTTTCAACTCATCTTCTTGAATCTATAACATAAGAAAATAAGAAAATATTCAATGCAAATTCTACTATTACTATGTTTAATGTTAGAGAAAAAACAAAACATTGTAATAAAGGTGTTAAAGGAGGAAAGGAGGCCAAATAAGTCCACATACCATTTTTGTAAGTTCTTCTTCTGCTTCTGCAATTCTCTCCCTATCATTGCTGTCCACTACAAAGATGAGGCCCTAAATCATAATTTTTTTTAATGAATGGCAGCTTTCTCTCTGAAAGACACCCTTATGTCTGTGACTGTACCTGTGTGTTCTGGTAGTAGTGTCTCCACAGGGGTCTGATCTTGTCTTGACCTCCAACATCCCAGACCGTAAAGCAGATATTTTTATATTCAACAGTTTCTACATTAAAACCTAAAAACAAAGAACAACAAAAATATTACACCTGAAGTATGTGTTTCATCAGTACCTAAGAGAGCACACGCAAGCATAACATAACAAAAAATAATTGTTTCGTAAAGGGAAATGCGAGGATGGTTGCAAAAAACAAAATACAAAAAACACGAGTGGCAAAAACTAGAGAAACTTTACCAATAGTCGGGATAGTGGTGACAATCTCGCCAAGCTTCAGTTTGTACAGGATGGTTGTTTTTCCAGCGGCATCCAGACCAACTGAAACGGTAAAGATAACCCGCGTTGAACTGGTCTACATTTTCAGCTTATAAATATCAACTAAAAATATGAACACATACACACTACAGATATGTAAACGTTCCACTGTCGTTTGCTAGTTAGCTTAGCTTAGATAGCCTACCTACCCATTAGTATTCTCATTTGTTTTTTGCCAAAAAGTCTGGAAAACAAGGATGAGATAGTGAGACCCATTTTCATGTAAAGGTCCAAGTTTAGTAACAGAAAATAAAAAGCCGTCAGTGACAACTTGAGTTAAACTGCCCTAGTAGAAGCTGTCAAACTGGTCCAGGATGAGGACTGCAGCAGTGGGAGGGGCAGTTTGTGTTGCCACGTCCAGGCCAACGCGGAACAAACCACGTCACATTATTTACAATTACAAATTATATGATAAATGGCTTCATACATTCAGGAAAGTGTTAACATATTTACCACAAAATAGTTTACACAATTTGAATCAACTTGCGCTTATAAAATTCCTGCAATCTGTAAACTATGGATCTTTCATAAACCATGCTCAAAACGCACCAGCCGTTTACCCCTCTCCACTTCCGGTTTGAAGTGTCATGGCAGCTGTTTCCACATAATCGCCTCTCTGTCGGTAATTTTATATTGTTTATTCTAAGTTGTTTCATTTACAAGCGACATTTCAAGTTTTGAATTATAATACTTGAGTTCCTGCGTGATACAGACAACATCAACAACCACTGGTAAGATTACAGAAACTTTGCAGTAGCTTATTTCAAAAAAATGTTTGACAGTGCGCCTTATGGTTTATGTCCTTCCTTGCAAACAATTTGATACATCCTTAATGCGTATGTTACAGGTTGTGTATATTTATTGCTCGTTTTAGGTGGGGAGACCAGCGGATCTAGGAAGATGTTTCTTCTATGTTAAAACAACAAACGTAGCCACTTTGGAAGAGCCATGGAAAAGTTTGGGATGAGTTTTGGGGGTGGGCCCAGCCGAAAGGATCTTCTTGAAACTGTAGAATCTCAGAAAAAGCAGCTTGTACAGTATCAGACCCGATTTAGAGATGTGGTGCGTGCATATAAGAGTTTGCTGAAAGAAAAAGAGGCTTTGGAGGCCAGCCTTAAGGTCCTCTCAGTTTCTCAGGATGTGGACCGAACTCAGCAAAATCTTGACATAAGGACTGATCTGCCTGATGATCGCTGTTCTCTGCACAGTGAAGACAGTGTTGATACTGCAGCATCTATGGATATACCTGTAAATATCACAAGTAACTCTGCTAGAGAGGACCAAAGTGAAGAGGAGCAGGCAGAGCCACCTGCTGAGGCTAGTGGTGCTGAGAGCGTAGTCAGCTCAACAAGCAGTAGTGGAGAGCAGCAGAGAGCCACTCCTCCACCAGGTGCAGAGGCTGATCGTCGTGTTGCTCAACTGAAGGCTCAACTGAGCACTCTCACCAGTTCTCTGGCAACAGTGACTCAAGAGAAGTCCCGGATGGAATCTAGTTTTTTGGCTGACAAACGACTGCTAAAGCAGGAGGTGGAGGACCTGCAAGAGCAGCTTCAAAGTTTGAAGAAACAACATGAATTGGAGATTCAGACTTTGCAGGAGCAGTTGGCAGAGAGCCGCGCTCGGATCATTACACAGCAGCATGAGAGGGGTTTGGAGCAGGGAGACCATGCTCAACAGCTGCGAGAGCTGCAGAAGCTCCTGCAGCAGGAGAGAGCCCTGAGGCAGGATGCAGAACTGAGGCGCCAAGATGCAGAGCTGCGGCTTCAGGAGGCCACAGCTGCTCTATTGCTGACATCTCAGGCTATAGACCGAGGGGCAGAGTCAGAGGCTCACCTAAACCTGTTAAAGGAGGAGAAAGCTGAGCTGGAGAGAAGACTTCAGGCAGCTGAGGAGATTCAAAAGAAACCTGATCCCAGAGTGGAGGAACTTCAGCAGGAGCTAACAGAGCTCAAGAAGCACCATCAGCAGCAGATGCAGAGTGAGAACAAAAAGGTATGTTGTTTCTATTTATATTTAATTTGAGCTAAAGGCTTTTACTTGTTGGTAAAACCACTATTCAAGAAATGAAATACTGATCTCCTTTTTTATATTGTCCTTAGGTGTGTGAGGTGGAGGAACGTGAACGTGAGCGTGCCCAGGCTGAGGAGAAGAGAGTGGCAGCACTAGAGCAGCAGGTGTCTGAGCTGTCTGAGCTGCTTGGCTCCTGTGAGAAGGCAAAGCAAAGGGATCAGCAGACTATTCAGAGACTTAGGGACAGAATTTTTCAGCTAGACACGGAAAACAAGACGCTGGCCATTGCTGCTTCAAGCAGGGTGCCCTCGGATATCTTTGTAGATGAAACCCAGCTGGATGTAACAGTGCTTAAGGAGAAGCTGGAAAAAGTAAAAAAGCTGCTTGTGCTGGCGGCGCAGAGGAACCCAGAGCAGACTACAAACATTGAAGCTCTAATGGATACTGATCTAGAGCTGTGCAAAGAAAAAGCCTCTGTACAGCACTACCAGCAAGAACTCAGACAGGTGAAGGAGGAGTTTGAACGTTACAAAGTGAGGGCACAAGTGGTGCTAAAGAACAAGAATGCTAAAGATGGTTCCCAGACCAAAGAGCTGGAGGAGGTAAGAGATCAGCTGGCTGAACTCAAAGAGAAATATATTAATCTGCGCATTCAAAGTGATGAGGCTGAGGCCAAACACCACAAGGAGCTAGAGGAACGGCAGCAACAATCCATCTTACAACAGCACAGTCATAAACAAGAAGTGGAGCGACTAGAAGCTCTGCATCGTGACAACCTCCTTAAACTAGAGGCAGAGCTGCACAAACAGAGAGAGCGGACCATGGCCCTGCTGGATGAGAAGGACAAAGAGCTGGAAAACCTCAGAGCGGTGGCTTTGAGCTACAGCCTCTCTCCACGAGGATGTCACAGCAGTGATGGCACAGGCCCAGTGGACAACCAGGACTTGACAGAAGGGTATAGTGAGGAGGACATCATCAGCCAGGCCTTGTTGCGGGCCACACCCAATGAACCCACTATACTGTTATATGCAGAGCAACTGGCCAGAAAGGAGGTGGAGACAGGAGTGCTGCGTCGTCAGAAACACCAGCTTGAGGAAGATGTCCACCAGCTTCAGGCCAAGCTCATTGCTAATGGAGAACGTCACGACGAGGAGGTGGCTGATCTTAGAGATCAACTTGAAAAACTGCTAAGAGACCAAAGTCGGGAGGGTGCAAATCTGGAATATCTGAAAAATGTTATCTTTAAATTTCTAACTCTCCAAGATGCGAGTGGTCGTCAACAGACACTTGGTGCCATCCTCACCATCCTTCACTTCAGCCCCCAAGAAAAACAGACTGTGTTGAGACTGCAGATGGGACCATGGTGGAGCACTACAAAGAGATAGGCATCTATCTCTTAATCTATGACAGCAAAAGTTATAGAAACGTTTATTAGCATAATAACAGATAACTTAATAACTACAACTTGGCATCCATTTGGTCATATAATAAAATAAAACACTGAAATTCTTTTGACATGCATATCTTTTTCAGATTTCAGAAGACTCCCTTTATCCTTCATTAGCTTACATGTCCAGTTGTAACTTGGACATTCCGTGCCTCTTGCACTATTTTAAGCCATGTGTATGTGTGATTACTGACTAGCTTTGTGTTGCCTAAAATCAGTTTATAAGAGACTACATTGTCTCCCAGATCCAATATAATTCTAGTCTCATTCATAATAATGGCATTTTTTTTTTACCTTTTAACCATCTGCAGAGATTTGTACAATGTTGTTTTCCATTTTAAAACGGCACAAAACAAATGGAGTGGATTATTTTCTAACCTGTATGTATGTATGTCCAATACATTTTCACCCTTACTAAATCCAAGCCTTGAAATAAAAAGTGATTAAAGTAAACTATACAATTTTCTATATTTTAGCAGTTTTCATCCCCTTGATCTGACCACATACAGCTGTTTATGTCTATGGAACTTGTTTTGAGGCAAACAAAACTTTGATTTCACACTTAAAAATTGCTAAAATACATATTGTTTTGAGAAAATCCCCAGCCAAGGAAAACAATTACTGCAGACATCTAATTCTGAATTTTGTTATGTTTTTACGGTCTTTCATACTTGAGACTTCAGTGCTCTTTACTGGTGGTGGCTTCCATTAATACAGCCTCATATCTAAGCTCTTATTGTAGCAATAATACCTGGAACATTTGTAAACAATTTAAAAGGCAACCCCAGGTCTCCCCAGAATGCATTTCAAAACACTTAAATTCAATTAACAACTGAATGCTAAGTTTGATCCTCTTTTACTTTTCACTCCCCAAACAAGCAATGAGAAACAAAATTCCACAATCTCTGCTTTGCCCGCTTATTCTGAGTTGAGTAGTGTCTGAAGATCCTCTGGTAGTGAGCTGATGATGGATTCAATAAATGTCTCCAATTTGTCCACAACACCGTCTCTGACCTGCAGCTGCTGCTGTCGTGCTTTAGTCTATGAAACATACAAACATACAATTGTACATAGCAACTACTGTATTTGTTGTTACAACAAATGACACAAGTTACAAAAATGTTTTTTTTAAATTGTCATACCATTTTCTCTCTGAGCTTTAGAACAACATCTACAATTTCCACTTCAGACTTGTCTTTAGTCCAACCCATCAAATCCTGCAACAGAGCACATGGTGCACATCATAACAGTATGAAGGATTTATAACTCATGCATTCTGATACTGGAGATTGAAGCGTCACTTACAGCGTCACAGATGACCTCCAAGTGCAGACACTCCAATTTCTGGGACATCTCCTTGTGCCTTTGACGGTACCAGCCATCAAAATTTGTAGATCTGAAGAATTTCCTGTGTACAAGTATTTTGTTTAAAATACCATTTTGTGCTATGTTGTTTATTGTCTATAACAGAGTCCGTAAACGATAAATTCTTTAAAATACAAAAATGTACTTTTCATATAACAGTAATCCATTCATATCATATAGCCATTTTTACAAATATAATTAATTACATATGAAACTGAATTTGTTCACATCATTTTATTTATTTATATTTATATATACATATATATATTATATATATATATATATATATATATAATATATTTATTTATTTATTTATTTATTGTCATACCTGTACAAGCCCATCCAATCCCCTTTGAGCATGGAGGTAAGTTGTGGTCCACTATGATTAAGTGTGGCCATGAACTCATCCTGGTTAAAGGGACGAATCTGCGGAGGAGTCTGATCAAACAAATTATGTGTGACCAGAATCTCCCAAGAGGATCTAATTATTCATGTACATCTTGTTTACCTTCCATGGTGTCACTGATCTCTGTAAGGGCATTAAGCTTGCCATGTATCGCTCCTAACAATCAACAGACAAATATGAAATCATATTGTAATCATAATTGTAAATAAATACTTTACAGTGTTATAAAATTCTGATTTTGAATGTAATTTACCAGGGGGATGATGAAGCTCTGTGTTAGCTCTAACAAGTGCCTTCTTAATATGGCACTTTGCACCTCAGATGGCCTCTTCCTCTGAATACCCTAAATTATAATATTCAAAAAGATTAAGTTAATATACTAAAATGAATAGTTGTGCATTGTTGATATTACCTTGAGTAGCCTTTTAATAAGAATTTTATCTTTGTGTACAAATGTCTTATAAGCTGTGTAAATGCCTAAGAAAAGGCAAATAAATGCAAATGAATATATGCCATTATTTTAATTAACAATATAAATATTTTTGTTTTGAACTAAAAATTAAGAAGGACCCACCTGGTTTAGTATCGAGTGATTTTAGTTTTACTAGTTTCTTCACCTTAACTTGTTTAGGTAAATCACCTAATAAGAGTTGAATTGTTTTATATACTGTTAGAAAATACATTCTGAGGA